TAATAGACGGTTCTTAGCATAAAGCTTACAAAAACCAATCCACACTTCAAGTCAGAAAACAGCATACCACTAAGTTATTCTCCTAATTTTACTGCCAAAAAACTTAACGCCTGTGTTAAATTTCATCACCATAGTCATGTTTCTTTTTGCCTTTTGTTTGACAAATAACATTTTCTGGTTATCTTGGTAGACCTCCTCAAATCACCCCCTTTACCTAGATCATACTTATTGACATGTGGATGTCAAAGCTCAGCACAGTACTCTAGAATTGACTTCTGTGGGCAGATACAAAATAAATACTATTTTCTTCTTTCTGTTTGTTACTTCCATGCATCGGAGAATGGTATTGCCCCTGGGTGTTACAGCATGCCAATGAGATTTGTGTTCAAGTAGTTATTTCCTGTCATCACAGGTTTTTCAAAGTCATTCTTTTCCAAGATGCAGGCACTCCTCTTAACACTGACATACATTTTTTGTTCTTAGATATTTAGGCTCACATCTATTGGCTGTAAGGCTCCTTATTCCCACCATATCAAACTGATACCACTTCAATTTCTTTTTTTTAAATCTGTTGATAAAAATATTGAATGAGACTTCTTTAGAACTCCGCCACAGATAATCCCATCATATGAGAACTACCATCTTACATTTTTATTGTGGTTATCTGTTTTCTTAATATCCCTAATAAGGAATATGCTGATTTTCCATAATAAAAAAATTAGCACATAACACAGCGGTAGAACAAATGCCTTACAGAAGGCAGTTTACACTAGTACCTACATTCATGACTTCATTAAAAGGGTATCAAATGCAATTGGCAAGATCTGTTTCTTAAAAAAAAAAAAAAAAAAAAATTGCTGCATCTAAAAAGCATTTTTCAAATGACTGTATGCTCCTATAGGCTTAACTATGCATAAATACATGCATCCCTATCAAGCAACACAACATCTGTATATCAAAATAAATTATCAGGGATTTCTTCAATTTGTAAGGATTTGGAAGTGCCAGATAGCTGGATTTTGACTTAGTTAGCTTCCCTTCCTGACACATGTCTAGTGAGAATAATCATCAGCGATTTAAATTTTCATACATGAATTCAGAACTTGGTATCTTACCCTAGTACAAAATCATTCTTTCAGTAGAAATGCCTAATAAGAATTAAGCTCCCTCAGTACACACTTAAAATACTTTATCTGTGAACGTTTGGTAGGTATGTTGATTCCTGAAATAATATTCCGATGTCATAAATACTTCCAAAAAGGCAACAGAAAATGTTTGTTTCCTCTCAGTTTTTTTTTTTTTGTTTGTTTAACATTTTACAGTGACTACCTGGGGAGATTCAAATCAAGAACTGAAATGAAAGCATTTTCATGTGTGTCACCATAATTTCCAAATTTCAGAGTTTTATCCTTTTGAAAGAAAGCATTCTGATTTAGCTTTCAATTTTTTCCCCATATGCTGTGCTTTTCCAAATCTTTTGTTCAAATTCTACATTTAAAACAAAATTAGAACACTCATGTCCAATTTTAAGACTCCTCTCCCAATACCAGAGGAACTTCTGAAGTTTAGTGCAGATGAATATATACTAAAATTGAAAGCCTTTTTTAAATGTCATCCTAAGATTTCCTAACTGCATAATGGCCCCCATTTAATAAAACCACCATCAAATCAAGATATGAAATGGATATAAAAATAGTATTGTTGGGAAGCTAAAAATAGGTATGTTGATTGTTAAGAAGTTTATTCCTGAATTCTTTCTTATCCTGCTGAAATAACTAAATACTAAATATTTTTCTAGTTAGGTACTAATTGGTCACCTACCTTGGAAATACAAAACCAGCAATCTGTAAAAGTTTTCGATAATTCTCTATTTTCTCTGGAAAGATAATGGGAAAATATTTCCAGTGGTTTAGAATTTTTTTAAAACTCTGTTTCTCTAAAGAAGAAAGATCTTGCTCATGTGAAAACTACAATGTGTTTACTCACAGGCTGAAATCTAAAAATGTGATTCACCACAGCTGTGTTGCTTTACTCTGGAGGGGAAGTATGAAAAAGGTGACTAAAAAGGTTTTTTCACCCTAAAGTATCTGCTACAGTCTTAAGACTTGAAAGATAATTAACCGAAGAGACCATACGACACTCTAGAACTGAGTACTATTACATATGTATTATTTTAGAAATATAGTTAACCTGAAACTGACACCTTTACACTAAGTCACTTCTAGAAGGGTTATTTAATCAATCTAACTAGGAAGAATAAGGAATAATAAACCTGAAAGAAAACTGAAAGGATTACTGAATTCTAACTTCAGAAATCTGCCATCCTGCAACAAATCTGCAAATCAAAAAGACAGGTGAAAAATGCTACATTGGAGGAAAATAAAGCAAGCCACTGGTATCATCTTTAGAAACTGCCCAATCAATTAAACTACATCTCTGCTTTCCTATAAAGATCACATTTGAAAATTTTTTAAATTTTTTCTTAATTTTCTTAAATTATACATGCTTATTGTTAACATGACAAGTTCCTTTTCAAAAAATCTTTTATTTTCTGGGCCATTAGAAATTATTCCGTGGCAGTAAATTCAGGAGAAAATATAGATGAAGAGAAAAGCATGAATTTTATATTCATGGACTTCCTAATATTTTTAAACATGCATACTCTTTGTCATACACATAGTGCAAGTAAAACCTATTTACAAGGATTAACCTTTATCATTCTGAGACATATAAAACACGCTATAATAATCTCTGCTGTTACAGCTGAGTTACCTTACTCTGGTATACTTCCTTTTTCGCTATTAGTGCTTTCTAGTGTGATGTAGTATTATTACCCACTAAAGATGACTTTTTTAAAAAGGAGATGTGTTAGTGACCCAAGAATAAGAGGTTCGGTTGGATACCAGCAGCATGCACCTAGAATGATTTTTAGGGTTGACATTTAGCTGGCTGAGGGCATGACTGCCGGAGAAGGGGTGAGAGCAAACCACTGCCAGGGCTGGGCTGCAGCCCAGCAGCCTCCAGTGGGCAGCCCTGGGGCGAAGGAGAGGGTAGGCACCTGGCGGAGGCAGGGACTGGACAGCCAGCTCAGCATGCAGACATGAACCTCTTCAGCCCAGTAGCTTACGTGACAGACTTCAGAGGCTTGAAATTATTACTTTCGAAAAGAGTTACCTTTCTAAGTTTACAGAAACGGCTTCTCAATTTCAGACCACATTTATGATCTTCCTCCAAGAGAGAAACCAGATACAAAGTGGCCTTCACTCAAGCAGTTATGCAAACAAGGAACTATTGTAACCACACTAATTGGAGGAGGTTTTTTTCAGGCAGATACACAGGCAGGGCTGGCAGAACAGCTGACAGTAGAAACGGAATGACGATGACAGAATATAACACCTGCTGCCAAACCCTGGCATGTTAATTCCGAGTCATGAAAATCTTCTCTTAGACAGACCTAGAACATGGCATCTTTTCTGAAACAGGAGTAGAAGAATTTGTCTATAATCCTTTGACTGAGTTGTGCACCTTGGTGCAGGTAATGATGCATGGAACTTGTGCTGACTTACAGAACCCTACCTGCCTGTCACCAAAGCTGTCATCTCCTGTTCGCATTTCAAGTCATATGTTCACAAATATAAACATTGTATATGGAATAGCTGGCCTGCCACAGAGGATCTGGACTACATCCTAATATTGGTCCAAGCTACTCAACAAACTGAAGACATGCAATCGCATGAAATCAATCTAGGCATTTGTTTCAACTGAGTTCTTCTGTGCACTTTGGCTCTTCATCAGTTTATTATTGTTTTTTATTCATCTTCCCTAGCTTGTTCAAACTCACAAATATACTCTAGTTGCAGCAAGGCACAGGTAAATGACTCTAGAGTCAGACCAGCACCATATGTGTAACCACTGCTCTCCGTAACTGCAGAAGAGCTGCACCTCCTCCCTGCAACAAGTGCGTCTTGCATCACTTTACAATGCAAAAGTTTTGGCTCGGATAAAATAACACACATAACACCACTCCTTAACCAAATTTGCATGTGAAACCTCTAAGCTTTTGAGACTGCATAAGAGAGCTTTTTCAGAGATTTGACATTTCATTTTGAACTGTGGTACATTTGTTTTCAATTTATGATTATGATTAAAAGGAAGGAGCTGGTTCTTTCCCAGGCATCAAACAATTATATTAGTCTAAAAATGTCACAAAGACCAATATTTGTCAGTTAAAAATGAAAAGGAGAAAAATGAACTACATGGGGGTAGAGGAACAAGACGGACAGGAAAATCCCACCCTTCCGCAGAAGTCTTGGGTACAGCAAATACTCTTATGAGACCGACCCTTGGCATATAATTCAGTGTCTGAAAAACCCAGATACAACTCCTTAAAGATCAAGGTACTTATCTGTTTCTACTGTTTCTAAAGCAAGGAAACGGACACCCCCACCCACACCCCACCCCAAGTAACTTTTTTTTTTTTGCTTTCCATGAATGCTTGAGTAGAAATAAAAGGAGTAGATCTTTCTGCGTCTACCTATCTTTTCTACAGAAAGAACGGACTCTCAAACACAAAATAAACCAGGATAAAATAAGCACCTCAGTAAAAAGAACACTAACTCTATCGACATTGGTCTGTGTCATTTTGCAACATATGCTGTTAGATGAAATCCTGCAGGTCTCAAAAAGTCATGAGCAGTACTGGAAATAACTCCTCCTACACACTGCTCAAAAAAACCCCAAACACCTGGCATAGATAGCTCATTGATGGCAGAGCAATAGCTCAAAGAAGATGAGAACAGTACATGTTGCTTTAGGTGATCTATTGGGATATTACACCCCAGAGTAGAATTAGAAAGGAGCACCACATTATATAGAACTAGTCTTGCAGGGAGATATTTCCACTTGACTTCTCTGAGCTGGTATTTGTATTTGTTATTTGTTATTTTCCCCTCAGTTTTCTAAACTGATATCTACTGTATAAAGCACTTAAATATTCCTACCAATATTGGGATGCTTCAAGAGGCGACAGATTCTAGCTTCTCTTTCCAGTTTCTGGTGATCTGCAACAAAGGAAAGTAGAACAGTTGCTTTCAGTATGAAAATTAACACAGTTCAGTGTATTTGCTTTACAGAAGCAAAATAATACATCATCTGATGTGATCTTTAAAAAATACCTCCTTTATTTAGATCCATTAAGATTTTAGATTCAAACTGTTTATAATATTGAATTAGGCTACTGCATCCAACCACTTCTTTGATGGACTACCACAGGCAGCTCCATTAGAAAAATCAAGCTGCTGATTTATTGGGGAGAACAGGAAATATTCATGCCATGACCTGTAATTATCAGGCAATAAACCACGTTACAACATTAATCAAAATATGGACAACCAGAACCTCTAGCATTGCCTTAAATCCTACCTGTTGACTGCTTTAATGATACCTGGTGCACCGGGTACACAGTTTGACACGTGACAGCCACCCTGACAGAGTGCCAGCACTCCTGCCACCATGCACTCCCGCCGCAATATGATGCTACAGGAACTTCTGATAACTAATGACCAGCAGTTATTATTTTCCCAGCCGGGCTAATCTCCTTCTCAGACTGATTATTCATTAACCTGAGGATACCCTGAACATGAGGGTCCAGGTGTACCATCTGTTGGCTCCTCCTCTCCTGACCATTTGATTTTTTTTTAACCTTCGGGTAGAGCAGCGGGCTGTAGGTCTGAACTTCTACACCACTGAGCCCTAATGGCACATCTGGAGATAAAACACTACTACCTGCGTCAAACTCCATTTTACTTAAGCTGGTTTTTTTACATAGCACACTTTTATAATACTTGCTCCAAACACTACCATTTATAGTACTACTTCTGCTGCATTTTGGTTAACATTAAGTAATATAGTACTTGTTTTATAGAATACATATGACAGTGTTGGGGGGTGCATAAACTATTTATACTGGAAATACCTGAAGATCTTCAGGTATGCTAAAATGTCCAGTGTCAGGCAGTATCCCACAGACACACATACACAGAGGTAATTCAGTCAATAAAATACATAATTTGGAGATAATAAAAACAGCCAGCTACTGCCTACTGTAATCCTGTAATTCCAACAGTCTTCTAGTGCATTTATCCTCATTTTCTGCAGCATAATTTCTATGGCTGCTAAGAACACTAAGCTTTTGTCAAGAGGCAGAGAAGCAGCACAGATTCAATTTTATAATATTAGCTAAAGATAATTTTTCAAGATTAGAAGAGAAATAAACTGTAAAATGTTCTTGGAGATGAGGCTCTTTTGCTATTATTTTAACTAGCTCCAATTTGATATCCAAGGATAACCAATCCCTCTTAGGGACTCAAACGTCAAACATCACACAAGTAATTAGGGTTGTGCTATCTCTGCAATCCTAATTAACCACATTATGTTTGAGAACACTCCTAACAACTGAAAGGGGAAATTCTTAACTGTCCTGCCACCCCATAAAAACAGTAGTCCGCACAGTATGTTTTGAGTTGAATAACCAGCATTTACAGAATACAAAAAGTTTAATCTACAGAAGAGTATTAGGCATCAAAATACTACAGCAAGAATGAAGACGTTACCTGGTTTTGTAATGTAAATCTTACAGCTCTATTATGGTATCTGTTCTCTCTCATAATACCATCAGTGTAATTAGGTTATCTTTCCACGTCACTAAATCATAGTCCCTCTGATACCAGTTTGACATCAGAGTCTACTGGACAAGAGTCAGAATAGGGTTGAAGAAAAAACACACTGTAAAACCCTTCCTCTTCGGTGCTCGACTCCACAGATTGCCTCAGCACTCCTCCTTTCACCTTTCTCTTCTGTGAGGAGTCCTAAAGTTCCCTGTTCAAGCTGACCACAATGCAGAAGCTTCTCCTTCCTAAATCAGCCAAAGTGCAACAGGAAGATGTGCAGTCACATTTAATCAACAGGCAGTGACCAGGCTCTGTGGAAAATGCACTTCCAGCTCTACTCTTTCCAATCAAGTATTGGGTGCTACTCCTTTTAGAGATTTAAACTAAACAGAGATCACCACAGTCACCCTCAAAGTGGGAAAACTAAATTCTACACAGATGGCTGTGCCAGCATAAGGGAGACGGGGTGGCACAGTGCGACAGCGAGGATGGCCAGCTGCCTCTGCTGCTGCCAAGAAATTCTGTCTAATGAAACCGCAACTTTACTTTCCTGAAGATAGCTCTGGCTTCAGCCTGCCCACTGTGGAGGTGCTCTACACGTGGCTCCTTAAACAGGACAGAGAGACCCTCTGAATGAGTGAGGTGAGAGCAGTAGGTGCAGATGGGAGCAGTGGGTGTGTAAGGGCAGGCGGCGGTGATCCCGGGTGTTCACGTTGGTCCAGGAAGACATGGCCTCCCTGCTGTGAGGATTGCTTCACGTGGAAAGCATCAACAGCCCCTGCGTAAAACACGAACTGTGGTGGGAGCGATGACCACAACGTAAGCATCTTCCCACCAGGTTGGCAGCTCAAGTCACAAAATTACTTCTATATCCTGCTTGTTCCAGTAGCCATTACCATTAAGGATTGAACTGGGATCTTGAGTGCTGTTTCTCCTGCCACTGACTGTGTTCATTACCAGCCAGTCAGCTTCAGCAGCCTGTTTGCACAATGCACTGAACAAACGGCTCCTGATTGCGCACACAACCTCCTAAGTGTGACAATAATATGAATAAAATGACAAAGAGTAACAATTCCAATCCTTTGGGATACTTCAGTGCTTATAAAAGCAATGATGGCTAAAGGAATATATCAAAGATTAATTTATTGATGAACTGTGGAAGCTGGGGTTTGGGAGGGGTGGTTGGTTGTTTTGGGGGGTGGGTTGGGGAGGTGTTTGTTTTTTGGGTGGTTTTTTTAAGTAAACTGTTACCAAACAAAAAAATTCAAATCCTACTACCCTCCTGCTGCACTTGATTAAAATGTTCTTAAAAACTTGGGCAGGATACCAAAGGTTTATACATATAGACCGCAGGCGTCACACTCTAGCAAAGCATAAGCCTGGAACTCTGAAGTTAAATAACAGTAACCAAGCTGACCTCTAAAAAGTGCCATAAAGCCTGAAGAGCATGGTGTGCATGGAAGTCAGAAAATGTAAAAGCTTATTTAACACGCTCAGGAAGATGACTCTTGACCACCATGTATAAAAGTGCATGGGGATAATGGGGCAAGCCGGGCAGGAAAATCCTAACCTTCTCCTATGGAAGATGTCTCAGGTGTAGCACGTACCGTTAGAGCACAGAGACACTTGGCATACAACTCTGGGTCTGAAACATTCAGAACCAGCTTCTTAATGCTAACATCACACCAATCTGGGTGAAGCAAGACAGACTGACCTATTATACATAGATTTGGAAAGCAAACCGTTAAATCATATCAAATCGTAGTAGTAGAGATACACTAAGTCTCCAGCTCTTGTGACAGATCTTGACAACTTAATATCAAGTAATTGTCCTCAATGAGCACTATTTTTTTGGTAATTCACTTCATCCATCCAACTGTTTTAGGCATAAGCAGTAAAGACTTCAGTAAGCACAACTAATAATGTCAACAGAGAGGTCATTAACAAATAGCAACGAATTTGAATGCAAGAATTCCTGTAAAATTTTGTTCAACTACTGCAACAAATTTTAAATTAGGACAACTTCAAGACATAGGGGAGGGAGGGACACGCTGTCATTATCCACCAAATTTCATGCATTAAAACCAAGCAAATCTGTATTTGTGACACGAGCACTACCCTGCAACCCCAGCAGAAGGGATACTAGGAGAGGCATGCCAAAGCCCTGTTCCAAGAGGAACAGAGTACCAGGTTTCACACACAAACTGGCTTGTGAGAGCCCAAAAAAAACCCAACATTTAAAAAAAAACACAAAAAAAAAAAAAAAAAAGGCAAAAACAAGCAGTACCATAATCGAATTGCTCAGAGACATCATTTTTTGCAGAAAACATAAGCAGCATTTGTATAGGGCCTTTTCATTAATTGAGAGGGAATGTAAATCAGAGAACCACTGACTGCAAGAAAAAGACAGCCGAAATTGTATTGGTATGGATGTTAAGGAAACACCAAAATATCCTGGACACAGCTGTTAGTAATACTTAAATGCTATAATAACAAAAAAGGAAATACAAGGACATTGATAGAGAAATATATGATGTAAAACTAAATATAAAGGCACATTATTTACTTTTACACTCTCTGAAAGTAAAAGAGATTTCCAAAATCAAATAATGATAAAGTAGGCACTAATTCAGTTGTAGAGATTAAGGCAACCACACAGAGTTCTGCTGGTCTAGCAATTCTCTCTATAATAAAGGGGGAAAAAAGTCACAATGCAAAATGTCAGCCTCTACAGGCAGAATAATTAAAAAAATAAATACAGAAACATATAGCAAATATACTTGCTCAGAGAAATTGAAGTGTTTGGTTTCTACATTGCAAATCTAACTTAGTATGTAGACCAAAAAAAAAAAATTGTTAGAAAAATAAGCACTATCCTACAATACGTCTGAAATAATTAAGCCAGAGTAAGATCTTTTGAAGGCAAATAACATGCAGTTTAAGCGTGTTTAAATATCAATTAATTAGAAAGGAGCTCTTCTGTACATTTTCCCCTCTGTTAGGGATGCTATTCTCATTTTTTTTCCATATTTAAAAAATACACAAATGAAATACATAACAAGCTAGCAGTTTTCATTCAAATCACACGAATTATAAGTTTTTAATACAGTATTCTTTGCTAAAAGAAAAGTTTCCAAGACTTTCTGAAGCCCACAGAAATGTACAGCATAACTCAGCTTGCTCTCTCTGCAATAACTGTACTTTTTAAAATAAAGTATGTGAACATTAAATTACAATAATTACTATGACACAATCACAATAAGCATCACAAATTTCCCAAAATATTAACTCTGGAAAACACAACTGTTCAGAATGTAAAAAATATGCTATAATTGAAATATGGTGATTTAACCCTTAAAATTATCACATGTCACAATAATTGCATGGTAAGG